CTGTAAAATGTTTGTAGGCACTCTTTATCTGGTTGAGAAACCATCTTTCTGTTGAATTGAGAAGTGTTTCTTCCCAGACCCCTCTTTTTTACTTTCTAAAGGAATTTGTGTGAGAATTATATTATTCCTTCCTTAAATATTTGGAACAAATTAATCAGAGTGAAACAACTTAAGGGTCTGGAATGTCCTTTGTAGGAGAATTTCAAATTGAGAATTCAATTTTTAATAGAGAAAGTGCTCTGAAGATTTTATATTACTCCCTGGATCTGTTTTCATAATTTTTTGCTTTTCAGATAACTTGTTCATTTTATCTAAATTGTAAAATTCATTGGCATTAGATTGTTAATATTCCTCTTACTGTCCTATTAATATCTATACTGATATCCCACTTTTCATTCTTTCTATTGTTAATTTTTCATTTCTTTTTTTATCCTGATGAGCCTAGCTAGTTTTTTAAATCAATTTTATTGATTTTTTCGAAGACCTTACATTAATTTTATTAATTTTCACTCTTAATTGTTCATTTGCTATTTCACTTACTTCTGTTATCTCTCTCTTTTTTTTTTTTTTGAGACGGAGTTTCGCTCTTGTTACCCAGGCTGGAGTGCAATGGCGCGATCTCGGCTCACCGCAACCTCCGCCTCCTGGGTTCAAGCAATTCTCCTGCCTCAGCCTCCTGAGTAGCTGGGATTACAGGCACGCACCACCATGCCCAGCTAATTTTTAGTATTTTTAGTAGAGACGGGGTTTCACCATGTTGACCAGGATGGTCTCGATCTCTCGACCTCGTGATCCACCCGCCTTGGCCTCCCAAAGTGCTGGGATTACAGGCTTGAGCCACCGCGCCCGGCCCTGTTATCTCTCTTACTGCATTCTTTCTCTCTGCCTTGGATTTTAAGAAATTGTCCTTTTATCCTAACAAAATATGCCTCTTTGCCTATATAATATTCGTTCTCTAGTATTCCACCTGGTCAGATATTAATATTGTGTAGCTAATCCAGATTTATTATGTTTAGTATTTGTGGAGTATATCTTCTTTTACTTTTAACCTGTCTTCTATGTCTTTATATTTAAAGTGTGTTTCTGGTAGACAGCTTATAGATAAGTTTGCTTTGTAGCAAATTTGACAATTTCTGTCTTTTAATTGATGTGTTTATTCCATTTACATTTAATGTAATCATTTATATGGTTGATTTAAAATCTGCTATTTTGTCTTCTATTTCTGCCATGTTTTTTCCTCTGTTTTTCTCTTTCTTATGTATTAATATTGACAGTACATCATGCATTAATAATGATTAATAATTATCTTATGTATTAATAAATATCTTCAGTATTCTATCTACTTTATATTTCTTTGTTTTTTTATTGGTTTCTTTAATGTTTAACTTATTGCAGTTTATCTTCATATAATATTACTTCACGTATAATGTTAGAATCTTACAAAATGCTTCCATTTTCTCTTATTATCTGTGTTGTAATTGTCCTATATTTTATCCTATCTTTGCTTCATACTCCACAATACATTGTATTATTTTTGTTTTAAATCATAGTATTGTTTAAAAGTTTGAAAATAAGAAAAAAGTTTGAAAATTTAATTTCTGACACTGTAAAATTCCTAGAAAAAAACATAGAGGAAAGCTTTTTGACATTGGCTTTGGCAATAATCTCTTGGATATGACACTAAAGTCATAGGCAACAAAAGCAAAAGTAGACAAGTGGGATTATATCAACTAAAATCCTTCTGCACAACAAAGGAAACAATCAAGAAAATGAAAAGGCAACCTATGGAATAGAAGAAAATATTTGCAAACCAAATACCTGTTAAAGAGTGTATTAGTCCATTTTTGAATTGCTATAAAGGAATTCCTAAGGCTGGATAGTTTATTAAAAAGAAGTTTATTTGGCTCACAGTTCTGAAGAATGTGGGAAGCCAGGTACCAGCATCTGCTTCTGGTGAGGACCTCAAGAAGTTTTTACACATGGCAGAAGGCAAAGGGGAGCTGGTGTGTCACAAAGTGAGAGAGGAAGCAAGAGAGGAAGAGGTGCTATGCTCTTTTAAATAGCCAGCTCTTACCTGAGCTAATAGATTGAGAACTCACTAATTACTGGCAAGACAGCACTAAGCCATTCATGAGGAATCTGCCCCTATGACCCAAACACCTTTCACCAGGATCCATCTCCATCATTTTAACATTATATTTGGAGGGAACAAACTTTCAAACTATATCATTCTTCCCCAGGGCTCCTAAATCTTATGTTCTTGCCACTTTGAAAAATACAGTCAGTCCTTCTCAATAGTTCCCCCAAAGTCTTAACTTGTTTCAGCATCAACCCCAAAGTCTAAAGTCTTCTCTGACACTGAAACCAAGTTCCTTCTACCTATGAGACTGTAAAATAAAATAAATTTAAAAAACCAACTTATTTACTTCCAAGATACAACACTGATAGAGGCATTGGGTAAATGTTCACATTCCAAAAGAGATAAATCAGCCAAAAGAAAGGAGCAACAGGCCCCATGCAAGTTTGAAGCCCAGAAGTGCAGACATTAAATCTTAAAATTTCGAAATAACCATTGACTTCATGTCCTGCATCCCGGGCACATTGATGTGAAAGATAGGCTCCCAAGGCCTTGGGTAGTTCCACCCCTGTGGCTTTGCAGGGTGCAGCTCCATGGCTGCTTTCACAGGTAGGAGTTTGGTGCCTGTGGTTTTTCTCTGCTGAGAGTGCATCTGCTGGTGACTCTACAGTTCTGGGGTTTTGAGGATAGTGCCCTATTCTCAAAGTTCCATTTGGCAGTGCCCCAGTCAGGACTCTGTATAGGGCCTACATCTCCAAATTTCCCCTCAGTACTACCCTAGTAGAGGCTCTCTGCATGGATTCTACCCTAGAGGCAGGCTTCTATTTGGGCACCCAGGTTTTCCCATACATCCTCTATCTGAGTGGAAGCTCTTAAGCCTTCTTCACTCTTGCATTGTGCACACCTGCAGGCTTAACATCATGTGGAAGCCAACAAGGCTTACAGCTTGCACTCTCCGGAGTGGCAGACCAAATTGTACCTTGGGCCCTTTGAGCTCTGCCTGGAGCCAGAGTGGCCCAAATGTGGGAGCAGCATCCTGAGCCTGCCCCACAAAACCAGTATGTCCTTGTGGGCTTCTGGGCCTGTGATGGAAGAAACTGCCTTGAAGATTTCTGAAATTCCTTGAAGGTTTTTCCCATGTTCTTGGTTTTTAGCACTTTGCACCATTTTAGTCATAAAATCTCTTTAGCAAGTGGTTGCTCCATAGCCTGCATGTGTTTCTGTCTTGAAAATGCTTTTTCCTTCTCTACCACATAACAAGGCTACAGATTTTCCAACTTCTTCCTCTGCTTCAATCTTAAGTTCCAACTTTAAGTTATTCCTTTCTTTGCTTCCGCATCTGACTGTAGTATGTTAGAAGCAGCCACATCACATTTTAAGTATGTTGCTGCTTAAAAATTTCTCCATCAGAACTTGAGTCATTCTTAAGTTCAGCCTTCCGCAAATCCCTAGGACATGAATAAAATGCTACCAAGTCCTTTGCTAGGGTATAACAAGGGTGACTTTTATTCCAGTTTCCAATAAATTCTTTTTATTTCAGTTTGAGACATCATCAGCCTGGCCTTCACTGTTCATATTTCTGTCAGCATTTTGGTCATAGCCTCTTAACAAGTCTCTCAGAAATCCTGATTTTTCCCTCATCTTCCAGTCTTCTTCAGAAAGCTCCAATCTCCTTCAACTTCTGCCTGTTATGCAGTTCCAAAGCAGCTTCCCCACTTTTAGGTATCTTCATAGCAACCCCCACTCCTGGTACCAATTTTCTGTATTAGTCTGTTTTACATTATTCTAAAAAAATATCTGAGACTGAGTAATTCATAAAGAAAAGAGGTTTATTTGGCTCACAGTTCTGAAGACTGTGCAGGAAGCATGGTACCAACATCTGCTTCATGCTTCATCTGTCACATGGTAAGAGGCAAAGTAAGAGAGAGGAAGGGGTGCCATACTCTTTTAAACAACTAGCTCTCATTGAACTGATAGAGTCAGAACTCACCCATTACCATGAGAAGAGCACCAAGCCATTTATAAGGTACCCTTTCCATGACCAAAACACCTCCCACCAGGCCCCAATTCCAACATTGGGGAACACATTTAAACATGAGATTTGGACAGGACAAACAATATCAAAACAAAATAAAACCCACAAGTAATCTAATTATAAACTGGACAAAGGACTTGAGTAAACATTTCTTCAAAGAAGACATATAAATTAACAACAGATATACGAAAAGGTGCTTAATATTACAAACCATCAGGAAAATGCAAACCAAAATTATGATGAGCTATCACTTCATATCTTTTAGGATGACTACTATGCCAACAAATGTTGGCAAGAATGTGGAGAAGAATAAACCCTTGTGTACCATTGAGGATAATGTAAATTGGTATATCCACTGTAGAAAACAATATGGATGTTCCTTAACAAGTTAAGACAACAGTGACCTCATGATCTAGCAATTCCACTTCTGGCTATATCTCCAAATGAATTGCAATCAGTATTTCAAAAATATGTCTGCATCCTATGTTTATTTCAGCATTATTCATAATAGCCAAGACATAGAAGCAACCTAAATGTCCATCAATGGATGAATGGATAAAGAAAATATATACAACAGAATGTTATTCAGCCTTAATGAAGAAGGAAATCCTGCCATTTGTGATAGCATAGCTGAACCTGGAGGACATAATGCTAAGTGAAATAAACCATATACGAGAACAAATACTACATGATACCACTTATATAATTAATCTAAAATTGTCAAACTCATAGAAGCCGAAAGTGGAATAGTGTTTTCAGGGACTGAAAGGGAGAGGAGAACAGGGAAGTATTAGTTAAAATGTATAGAATTTCAGTTATACAAGATGAATAAAAAGTCCTAGAAATGGACTCTATATTATAGTGCCTATAGTTAAGAATGCTATATTAATACTTACCTGGTAGGGGCAATACCATGATCATGAAGGTCGTTTTCCCAGGGTGAGGCTTATCCATTGTACTCTGGAGGTACAGACCCCTGTGATTTCCCCAAATGTGGGAAACTTGACTGTATAATTTGTGGTAATGGGGGCTGTGTTCGTGCTTTCCCCTGAAGAAAAAAAAAAAAAGAATACTGTATTCTATACTTAATAATTTGCTAAGAGGGCAGATCTTATGTTAAGTGTTCCTATAATAAACAAACAAAATGCTAATAATTAATGGAGAGGGTTGGAGGAAACTTTCCAAGATGATGGATAGGCCTATGGCATGGATTGTGGTGATAATTTCATTGGTGAATCTTTATCTTCAAACTCATGTACATGTTTGCAAATCTCAATGAACACCAAACAATATAAACAAAAGCAAACTATACCTACACATATCATAATTAAATTACTAAAAATCAATGGTAAAGGGGGCTTTTCTTCCCTGCAGGCCTACCTTGTGGTTTTCAACTGCAAGAAAGCAATCTAGCTGTTCAAACATGAATCTGGGCAGGAGTAGGGGGCAGGGGCCTCTGTGAAGTCTTTGAATCAAGACTGATGAATCAATACATTAATAGGAATACATTTATATATATATATATATATATATATATATATATATATATATAGTTTTTGTATGTCGATCATACATCAATAAAGTGGTTAAAAAGGAAGTTTTATATTTACATTCATACTTACCGTGTCCTGTGGCCTTTTGTGTATGTGTATGTAGATCTGGATTTTAATTATTTTTTTAGCCTCAAGAAATTAGCAGTGAAGGTGTGATGACAAAAATTTTTCTAATTTTCATTTGAAAATCTGTTTATATAATATTTATTTTTGAAGAATGTTTTTATAGGATATAGAATTCTAAGTTGATATTCTCTCTTTTGCCATTCATTCCCTAGCAGTTTAAAGATACTGTTCCATTGCCTTCTGGTTTGTGTGGTTTCTAATGAGACACCAGCAATATTATATATATGTATGTGTGTGAGTGTGTGTGTGTGTGTGTGTATGTGTGTGTGTATATATATATTGTTGTAATGTAAGTGGTTGTGTTAATTTTACTTTAGATTTTTTATCATTGATTTTTCACTAATTTAATTGTGACATGTGTAGGTATAGTTTTCTTTGTTTATATTGCTTGATGTTTATTGAGATTTATGAACATGTAAATTTTCTTTGAAATGTGTGTAAATCTTTCTAGAAGTGAAATAAGTTTTTTTTTTTTTTTTTGCCAGCTTTATGATCCAGAAATGTCTTTCTCAAGGACTTAGGAATCATCTCTTTGAAATGTAAACATCAAGAAAGATAGTTCCCTTATCTCCCAGTTTCTATGGGAAGGTAGAAGCCTAATTTCAGAAGTACCTTCCTTCAAGTTACAGAACTACCCCCGTCATAGAAAAAAAAAATCTTAGGCAATATTTATCTTAGCTGTTTAAATTCCTTGTCTAATAATTCTATCATCTCTGTTATTTCTGAGTATATTGTTATTGACTAATTTTTTTCTTCATTTTGGGTCAAATTTCCTTTTTATTTTTGTCTAGTAATTTTAAATTGGATTCTGGGCACTATATATGTTATCAAAGCTGAGGAATTACAAATCTGTAATCCCAATGCTTTGGGAGGCCAAGGTGGGAGAATTGTTCAAGGCCAGGAGTTTGAGACCATCCTGTGCAACACAGTGAGAAAACATTTCTACAAAAAAAGAAAAAAATTAACTAGGCATGGTGGTACATGCCTGTCATCCCAGCTACTTGGGAGGCTGAGATAGGAGGACTATTTTTGCCTAGGAGTTCTAACCCACATCAAGCTATGATTGCACCATTGCATTCTAGCCTGGGTGACTGAGTGAGACTCTATCTCTAAAAAAATAGTTATATAAAATAAATATTGTTGAATGTTTGTTTTCTTCTTTTAAAGAGTGTTATAGTTTGTACTGCTAGTTTGGCAATTTATTTATAGATTTATTTGATTATTTCAAGACTTGTTTTTAAGCTTTGTTAAGGCATATAAAATAAGACTTTATTTTAGGGTTAATTTCTCCTCACCACTAAGGCCATGAAACTTCTAAGGCACTGAATATTCAGTGAAGTCCTTCCACCATGATTGGTTGAATCTCAAATGTCTAACCCTCATCAAGTTCTGTAGTTGTTCATCTTTTACCACTTCAGTAGTTTTTCTTTATATTTATATTTATTCTTTGCTCGGGTTTGTGAAGTTTCAAGTATTTATTCATGTTCAGTCTATTACTTTTACAGATAAACTAGAAGTCATTCCTATGAAGTTTTCTGGAGCTCTTTCTTTACACAGATTCCCCCTTGTTGGTAGTCTGCCCTGCAGATTTCAGCTGCTTCAGCTTCCTTGAATTCTCAACCTGTCTCTTCTACTTAGTGAGAATGCTGTGCCTGCTTGGGTTTGCTGTCTTTCCAAACTAGTGTCTAATAGACACTTCCAGGTAGACAGGTTGGGTTATCTTCAGGCTGTCAACAGATTAGATGATGCTCACCTGAATTAGTAAGGGTGATCTTTACTCAGCAGTGTTTATAGCTTGTTTTTCCTTTGCAAATTGTATTTTGTTGTAATTTCCCTCCTTTATTTATTGGAAAATTCCATTAAATTAATATTGGAATTTATTTTATTCCAATATTGATTATGTACAAAAATAAATATGTATTTAAAATATGTATTAAAAAATATATATAAATAAAAATAAATTTTAATATTGATTAGATACAAAATAAATATTAGGTACAAAATTAAATTGGAATAAAAATAAATTCCAATATTGATTAGGTACAAAAATAAATATGTATTTAAAATACCAGAGAAAGTATCAGAAAAATAATTCATGTTAGATTTTCTCAGAGTGGGAAGCCATTGGTAAGCAAAAATAGGCTCTCCCTGACACTTCAAATGTGAGGTGCCATCTTTATAACTCAGGTGCTTCATACTGGCTGGTAAATTTTCTGAATTCTGAAAAAACTTATTAGGTACAGAAAAGAGAAATTATGTATAAAATCAGAACTGAGTTGGGAAATTTCCCAGTATCCTTTGAAAAGTCGGGGTCAGATGATCACTACATTTACAGATTTGGAGCATTAGTCCAATGTGTTAATTTTCTGCAGTGCAATATTTCAGCTGAGATTACAAATTCGAGTATAAAATTTGTGTTTGACCCAAATCAGGAGGTAGTATGATTTTCTCAAATAATGATGATAATGATAATAATAAAGGTAATAGTCAACACAAATATTTGCATGGTGGTTACTGTATGCCAGATACTATTCTAAGTACCTTTACAAATATTGTCTTCATAATTTTTTATGACTTCACTATGAAGTTGTTACTACTGTTAAATAATTTTATAGATGAGAAAACTGAGATACAGAATAGTAAATTAACTTGAACAAGGTCATACAACTAATAAATGACATATTTAAACCCAGAAAGCAGAGTTCGGGTTTAAGAAAATAGCATTTATAGAATAGAAGGAAATACAAAAGAAACCACAAAGTGGTACTATGACATCAAAGGAAATATCAGGCCCAAATGTATTCCTGGCTTTTGCATGCTGTATTAGTTCATTCTCATACTACTATAAAGAAATACCTGAGACTGGGGCTCGGTGCGGGGAAGGGCGTCTGCCATTGCTCAGGCAGATCTAACCTTACCTGTGTAAACAAAAGCCAGAGGAAGTTTACACAGCAGCAGGACTGAGCCCGTGGGAGCCCAGCAGCACCTCTTCAGGCAGACTGTTACTAGACTCCCTCCTTGCAGGGCAGGGCATCTCCAAAAAAAAAAAAAAAAAAAAGGGCAGCAGCACATCAGGGACTTATAAATAAAACCCCACCTTCCCAGGACAGAGCACCTGGGAAATGGGGCAACTGTGAGTTCTGCTGCAGTAGATTTAAACGTCCCTGCCCAGCAGCCCTAAAGGGATCAGTGGAACTCCCAGCACAGCACTTGAGCTCCAATAAGGGACAGACTGCCTCCTCAAGTGGCTCCCTGATTAATAAAAAAGAAAAGAAAGAAGAATCGAATAGATGAAATAAAAAGTGATAAAGGGGATATCACCACTGATTCCACAGAAATACAAACTACCATTACAGTTACTACAAACACTTCTATGCACATAAACCAGTAAATCTAGAAGAAATGGATAAATTCCTGGACACTTACACCCTCCCAAGACTAAACCAGGAAGAACTTGAATTCCTGAATAGGCCAATAACAAGGTGGGAAGTTGAGGCAGCAATTAATAGCCTACCAACCAAAAAAAGTCCAGGTCCAGATGGGTTCAGAGGTGAATTCTACCAGACATACAAAGAGGAGCTGGTACCATTCCTTCTGAAATGATTCCAAACAATACAAAAATAGGGAATACTCCCTAACTCATTTTATGAAACCAACATCATCCTGATACCAAAACCTGGCAGAGACACAACTAAAAGAGAAAACTTCAGGCCAATATCCAGGATGAACATCAATGCAAAAGTCTTCAATAAAATACTGGCAAATGGAATGCAACAGCACATCAAAAAGCTTATCCATCACAATCAAGTAGGCTTCATCCTGGGGATGCAAGGCTGGTTCAACATATGCAAATCTATAAACATAATCCATCACATAAACAGAACCAAAGACCAAAACCACATGATCCTCTCAATAGATGCAGAGAAGGCCTTCAACAAAATTCAACAGCCCTTTATGCTAAGCATTCTCAATAAACGAGGTATCAATGGAACATATCTCAAAATAATTAAAGCTATTTACAACAAACCCACGGCCAATATCTTACTGAATGGGCAAAATCTGGAAGAATTCCCTTTGAAAACTGGCACTAGACATGGGTGCCCTCTCTCACCACTCCTATTTGACATAGTATTGGAAGTTCTAGCTAGAGTGATTAGTCAAGAAAAAGAAAAAAAGGATATACAATTAGGAAAAGAGGAAGTCAAACTGTCTCTATTTGCAGACAATGTGATTGTATATCTAGAAGACCCCATCTTCTCAGCCCAAAATCTCCTTAAGATGGTAAGCAACTTCAGCAAAGTCTCAGGATACAAAATCAATGTGCGAAAATCACAAGCATTCCTATACACCAATAACAGACAAACAGAGAGCC